TGAAGATAGCAACAAAGAAGCATCAACAGACCTACAATATCTTTCCAAACATGCATCTTATAGTGCCTCCTATTTTGTCATAATTAATTGTTAGTTGGCCATAAAGGCTTAGTTTACTCTAATTATTCGTTTTCAAAATTTATTTATTAAAAGTGACTGTGGCGAATTTTTAGAAGAATTATGGTACACATATACTTTGTTTTATTGATCTTTTTTATTTTTATTATAGAAAGTAATAGTAAGAAGGATAAAACATCATCCAGAAGCCTGAAAATGTTTGAGAACAAAGATGAGATGAAGATAGTTGTGGTTGGTTGTAGCGGCAGTGGAAAATCATCATTGATAAATAAAATGCTGAGTGAGAGAAATATAACGACAGTTGGTAGACCAGATGATCAAATTGGTCATGATCCAGTTGAAAAGTACAGATGTAAAGTTGGAGAAATAGATGTCACGATATATGATACACTAGGATTCAGTGATCCTTTAATAACTGGCCGAAGTACAATGAATGCAATCGTTGATGGAATTGAATCTATAGACTATGTTTTAAATAAACTACCGTAAATCCTTAAATAGAAGCCGCATTCGAATAAACGCCGGGGTAGCAATAGAATTAAACTATAAATACACAACACTAGCCTAGGAGTGACTCAGTAGTCTAGTGGATAATGCCTGAAGTTCCAGAAGTCAAAAGCATGATGTCACGGGTTTGAATCCTGCTCTGAAGTTTTTTATTTTTGACATTTTTTCGAGAACCAAATACCTTTTTAGGAAATAGACGCCCAGGCTTTTATTTAAGGAAATACGGTATGTTTATTTCGAGGATAGTAATTTTTGCGAATGGCCTGTATGCAGAGGTTTATGGAATTAATTTTTGCGAATCGCCACTTTTGCCATCTTGTACTGTATTAAACTGATTTTTGAGGAATTTAATTTCGTGTATCTTCAAAAATCCACGAAATTTGTAAAATTTGTTATCCTCGAAATAAACCCGCTATACGGTATATATACAAAAATATAAACCCAACCACATCAAAGGATGATGTCATAATTATGATATATATGATTAAAAGTGACTGTGGCGAATTTTTAAAAGAATTATGGTACACATATACTTTGTTTTATTGATCTTTTTATTTTTATTATAGAAAGTAATAGTAAGAAGGATAAAACATCATCCAGAAGCCTGAAAATGTTTGAGAACAAAGATGAGATGAAGATACTTGTGGTTGGTCATAACGGCAGTGGAAAATCATCATTGATAAATGAAATGCTGGGTGGGAGAAATATAGCGACAGTTGGTAGACCAGATGATCAAATTGGTCATGATCCAGTTGAAAAGCACAGATGTAAAGTTGGAGGAATAAATGTCACGATATATGATACACGAGGACTCAGTGATCCTTTAATAACAGACCAAAGTACAATGAATGCAATCGTTGATGGAATTGAATCTATAGACATTGTACTTATATGTCACAAGCTGTATGATAGGATTGACGATGCAACCGTAAAAGAGCTTAAGGTCCTAGTTGGCAACATGCATGATGATTTGATTGATCTGTCTATTCTTGTTTTTACATTTGGAGATGAATATCAAATAAGATGTGATCCTGTGCATGAATCAGAAGAAGAAATAAAAGAAAATATGAAAATCCAGCAACATGAAATTCAACGCAAATTCAAAGATGCTATGAAGAAAAATGGTATCAATGAAAAAGTTGCTGACAGAGTACCAAGCTGCATAACATGTGGAAAAAGAAATCGTTATGGAGAGCAAAAGGAGTTACCTACAAGTGATAACTGGGTTGATGACCTTTGGAAGCTATGTGAGGAGCGATGTAAACCTGAAGCAAGACCGTTTGTTTGTTCAATGAGAAATACCGTTGTCAATGCATTAATGATGGGTGGGCTAGGTGGAGGTACTGTTGGAGCTGTTGTTGGTGGCATTGCTTCAGGAATTCAAGCAGGTGCTACTCTTGGTACTGTAGTTACACCAGGACTTGGTACCTTAGCCGGAGCTGTTGTTGGATTTGTTGCTGGAGGAATCGTTGGTGGGATTTCTGGTACTAATGATACTGCAGGTATTGGTATTGCAGGAATTGGAGCTCGAGTTGCAAATATTGTAATTGGTAAGAAGTTTAATGAAGGCAATGACTGAAAAAATCTCAAAACTATTTGTGTTAGCTATGTGTGTATTTAGAGTTAGTTTAGTAATAGATTTTGTCAGTTTAATAATAACAATTGTAATGTTCCTTTAAGTTAAAACATTTTAAGTCTTTTTTCCATTACTGCACGTCCATTGACCAGCACAGGAGAATCAGACGGATCTATAAATAGACACAACACGACACCACATTACATCATATTATGACATCACTCACTGTCTAACAGCTCTTCAACAGAAATGGTCTCATCTTGACCCAGCAATGTCTCCAGTGCAATCATGCTGCTCTCTAATGGAGGAATACGCTGAATCTATAGGAGAGAGAGAGAGAAAGAAAGAGAGAAGGAGGGATAGAGAGGGACAGAGAGAATGAGTAAAGTAAATGAAGAATACCGTAAATCAGGTGGTTATAAGATGCAGGATGGAAAATTTAGATACTGGAAATTTTATATGATGGCCATTTATCCAAATATATTAATAGGTAAAAAGAAAATAATTATTAGCAATTCTAATTTAGTATGTCCCATTGCTATATAAAATTACCATGACTCAAAATAAACATGATTTACAGTACATGTATGCCTTTACTTTGCTAGCCATCTTTCTCTCCATTTCCAACCTCAGAGGAGCATGTAGTCCCTGACTGTTACGCAGCGACTGCATTACAAAAGCTTCACGATTAGCAGCAAACTAAAAATAAATTAACTTAAAAATAGAATTATTGATTGAGGCTATGAATAAATAATTAGATCAATGAATATTAATGAGGTTGGTAGTTCATACGTTTGCTTCACTTGCTTCAAGTGGATGAGATGGAGTCAGATCAGACTTAGCCGATTTAAAACTAAAAATTAAATAAAAAATATTATATAATAATAATTATTATTCTAGGGGTCTAACCCATATCTGAATGTATCATGAACATTATACTCTGAGGCTGGAGTCTTTAATGATACACTAGAAGTAACGGGACCTGCTCCAAATGGAGTGACTAGATCAGGGTTTCCTGCCTTTAAAAGAAATAAAAATTAATTTAAAATAAAAGGATCTACCATTTTTTCCATGCTGCAAATGTTATGGGTGTGGTTTAAAGTAGCCACACCTTATTATAGGCGTGGTATGGGAGGAGAAAAAATAGTACACAATCACAAGATCACAGATTCACAGCAAACAGGAGATCATTTAACACTTGTCTCTCTCTCCTTATTTACATGGCCGACTTCTTAGTGTCTTCAAGCGGGCTAGAGCAAGCACTAGAGGACAAGTGGGGCCAGAGAACACTCGATCCATGGACACCAGAGGACGTGGAAGAAGATGAACTTTACAAAAGATTAGGATCACCTGTCAGACTGGGACTACCACCTTTTGAAGAGAACACAGGACTAGAAGAACAGGAGGGACAGGGAGAGGTTGTATTAGGAGAGAGATCCCCTGATCTTCTTCCCCCTCCTCCTCCTCCTGCTGATAGTATCACTTACCCACTTCATGACTCACCTGTTACCAGGTCCGATGAACAGTTAATATTCGCAGATGTTCCAGACCCAGTAAGACTCAGGGGGGTCGGAGGTACTACCATATTTGGTCTTAACAATCGTTTTGATGACGAATTCCCCTCTTACCTCGTTGGCAAGGTGACAATTCAAAAACAACAAACAATTTTATTATTATTATTATTTTTAGGTGGCACCAGAAGAGTTTCACGCTACTTTAGAGAGGATTAACTCCATACTGTACAAGAGTATTCCTTTTAATTTGAAGTGTCTCATTTGCGGTTGCTTGTGTTGCTGCTGCACCTTAGGAATATCCTTAGGGCCTGTACTGTATCTCAGCAAACGAGTGAGAAATTATTATAATTTACTACCCTGTACTGTAGTGAAGATATTATTATAATCATTGGGCCATGTACTATAGTACAGGGAGTTTGGTCTGATTTTTGAGTAACTTTAAAAAATTTGTAAAAAAATCCAATTGTGATCGGAATTAGCTTAAACTTTCTATGCAATATAAGTACATGTATATGCATCAGAAAATGTAAAAGTTCTTTTTCCTTTTTCTTCTCTTATAGACCAGGACAAGGTTAGAGAAGGTCATCTCCCAGGAGAACTGGAGGCTCTACAATAAGGTACTAATGAATATAACAATGGCTGTACTGTTACTTCTCATTGTCACCTCTTTGTTTCTCTCTCTTTCATTGCCAGCTGGGACTTAACATTAAACTGCAGAAGGAGTTCTGTGATGGAAACAACCTCAGAGAATATGTAAGAAGAAAATGTTATTTTTTTATTATTATTATTATTATTATTATTATTATTATTTTATTTTACTAGGTTATATACATTGAATTTTTACCAAAGCAACCACTGTATTATCCTGACTAAATTAATAATTATTTTTACAATAATCAGAAGAGTAATGACTAAACTGTAGCACTATTGTGTATAGATATGCATAATTTAAAAGTATAAAAGTTAAAAATAATTAATTTTTAGCATAGATAATAGAGTACTATTAATGTACTCTATTATCTATGTTTTTAGCAAATTAATATTGACCACGCCCATCTGATTAATTTTAGCCACACCTATCATTAAGGAAACAAAAACAAGATGGCGGACGAAGGCTATCAACAAGATTTCTATCCTACGAACTATACACTGGACTCAGAGACACTCCAATCAGCCAGACACTATCAGCAACAGCAGCCGTACCACCACCAACCGCCACCCGCCCATCAACCCACCCAGCAGTACAGTAACCAGTATTATACTGATGGGTCCCAGTCAAACTATTATTCACAGGAGCAGTATTCTGGAGGAATGGGCTACACTGTGCCAGGTATATATTAGTTTTTAGATAAAATGTACATGTAGAAGGTTTGAGCAGATTCCAACTTCAATTTTTCGAATTATAGCCATTTTAAAAAATTGACTAAAATCTGAAAAAATCCCTGTACATGGTTCCATTCTGACAAAAATCCATGGTTTTTTCCAAAAAATGGCTCCAAAATCATCCCAAATTTTTATTACATTTTCTGATACATATTGATGTCCTTATGCTTTGTAGAAAGTTTGAGCTGATTCCGACTTCAATTTTTAAAGTTAGGGCCATTTTAAAATGCAGTTTAAACAGCATTATTATATTCATTATGTTATCATTATTATTATTATTATTATTATTATTATTATTAATGTATTTCAGAGTCGGAAGGAGAGAGGATGGAGGTTGATCCCTACCCTCCAGCTGGTCAGCCTCTACCAGCTGGTAGTATGGGCCTCATGTCTCAAGGAGGAGGAGGAGGAGCTTATGATAGTCAGGGAGGACACTCTGGATTTGAAGAAGACCCACCACTACTGGAAGGTACTGTCTGAAAGAAGCATTGTATAATTTTATAATTTTATATTTTTTTATAATTAATTTTATTTTTTTGTAGAGCTTGGAATTGACTTCAGCGTCATCAAGGAGAATGTATGCTTCCTTTTTATTTATTTTATTTTATTCTTTTTTTAGACATTATCTGTCCTCAACCCATTGCAACAAGCTGATGCAGTTGCTTTACGTAACACTGACCTAGCGGGGCCACTGATATTCTGTCTACTATTTGGAGGAACTTTACTTCTAGTAAGACACAAGTTTAAGCATAATTCATGTTTTTGCAGTGAAATGTCCACCAGTCAATATTCCTGTCCTCTATTTTCTATTTTCCTCTACTTGTACATATACATTATAAATTCTTTTATTTTTTTATTAGTCTGGTAAAGTTCATTTCGGTTACATATATGGTGTTGGTCTCCTTGGCTGTATCAGTATGTACCTGTTGCTTAACATGATGAGTGGAGAAGGTGTCCCAGTGACAATGATAATGAGTGTCCTAGGGTACTGTCTGCTACCAATGGTCCTACTGTCTGGTACAGCAATAGTGATCTCTTTACAGTTAGTAGAGGGGGAGAGAGAAAGGGAAGGAGAGAGTGAGATGATCACATGATAGTCACATGATCTATTTCTCTTCCCTAGGGGTCTTCTTGGTACTGTGATGTCTCTGTGTATCATATTATGGTGCAGCTATTCTTCCTCAAAGTTGTTTGTGTCTGTCCTTTCAATGCAATCGCAGCAGCTGCTAGTGGCTTATCCTTGCGCTCTGTTGTACGGAGTCTTTGCTTTATTGACTGTCTTTTGAGAGGGAGAAAGGCAACTGCTACTCAAGAATGTACAAATATAATAAATCTCTCTCTCTCTTACTATTAAGACTGTTGTTATTATTTTTGATTCAATCCCTTATTATTATTATTATTAAGTTTTAATTTATTCATGAAGTGGAAAACTGTTTTAAATTAATTTATTAACATTAAAAATATCACTATTATTATGTCTTTTCGTTGCTATGGCACCATCGTGTTGATGGGTGTAGGAGGCAGTGATAGGAAAGAAACCTGTTTTAAAATAATTTAAAATAAAAATTTAACGTATGTACATGTACATTTAATACCTAGTTGGATCTTCATTATCATCAAATAAATCATCTTCAATTGATATTATATTTTTAATTTCTTTACCATTGATATTCCAACTACCATAACTGATCGTTATCTATCAATACCTGCTTAAACCAGTTAAACTAGTGCTTGATACCTGTTTGACAAGGTCAGTGGTTGATATTCTTTTTAAAGGGAAGAGATGAGAGTTCATGGTGGAGACTTCTGTTAAATTATACCCCAAGATGCCCTCTGTATATCATTACTTATCATTCATAGTCTTGCCTTAATTAATTACCTATTATTAGTCCTATTAACATGTCGTCTGGGACACCAGCTGCTCCTGAATATCTCATCATTTTCTCTTTCCCTCTACAAAAAATAAACCTTCACTATTTCTTTATTGAATTGATCGATACCTTAAATAATATTCCAGCTGCTCCATCAATGGAGTACTGATACAGTAAATAGCACCGGTTGCAAAATAATAAGAATCTCTTAACTAAAAGAGCAGCTGGAAATATAAGATTGCATTCATTATTACTGTACTATGTTATTCTTTCTCTTGAAATCTTCTCTAATCTACAAGGAACAGACATAAACTAGCTCACTCCTCCATTTCTCTCAGTTACATCAATTCTCCTATTGATACTTCTTTGTCCAAGGTAATGGCTGTCCAGTGGATTAAGCGTATCCAACAATTCAAACAAAGCCAACACATTTAGATACATATCATCATCCAAGTGACAATACCAACTATAAAATACATTAATAATAGAAATATCAATTGGTTGCATGAATTCATACAGACATATTTGTATTTCAATGCATCTTCCTCACTTGTAATGGCTCCCGTTTTCTTTTGCAATATAAAACTGCTCAAATTCTACTCCACACTTGCAGGCCATTGGTTGACTAGTGGAAGAAATCATAAAACTAACTGGATCAATGATTATGACATATATACTAACTGAGTATGACCTTTGGGACAACCAGCAATGTGAACAGTGTAACCTGTATTATATTAAAAGATGATTATTTATGATTTAAATTTAATTGTAATACCAAAGTCTCTCAGTAGTTCCGTTGTGGTATCTTCAGTATCAGTGACTATATGTAACTAAATATAGTAACAATAGTTATTAATAGTAACATTGGTATGACATCATGACGTGATATTTATAGACTAACGTTATGAGGGTGTACAGTTTGAAACCAGGTCAATGCTAGCAGGTGGAGTCTACTCTCATGATATTTTTCTGTTGATTTAATTGAGAAATATACATCATTTCTTTCGTGAACATCATAAAGTGGGTGTGGCTTCCTACCAAGGACCGTCCTGGTTGAAAAAATGGATGCATTATTCATCTCCCATGATCCACTGCAACCATCCAGACTGCAGTGACCTCCATCTAATGAAAAAACAAAATTTTCAAGAAGAAAAGTAATCAGAAACATTAGCAACCTCATTATTATTCATAATCAATTATGTGGGTGTGGCTTAAATAAAGATTGCCATAGCAACTACTAGGAGACAACAAAATGGCGAACATTCTCCCACCACCTCCAGCGCTCCCCAGCGGTAGTGTCCAGTACATCCACTCCTCAGAGAAGGTCCAGTACGTTCAGTCGAGGGGGAAGAGAGGGAAGGAGCATAAGAACTCGCTACAGCAGCAAATTGAGGAGATGAGGCGACAGAAGAAGAGAGATGGGAAGAATGAGGGAAGGATTGACTTTAATAATCTATCGAAACAAATAGATCCTTCAAAGTAAGCATTTACTATAATTGGGAAATTATATCGATTGACAATAATAATAATGGGAGGATTTGTGAAACTAATGATTTATAATACCAATGCAACATTCAATGATACATAGTGTAATTTTCTTTCTCTCTCTCTCTTTCTCCATTCAGTTATAGAAACAGTCTGTTCCACAATACTTGTACATCAATACTTGCTAAAGGCTACCACCAATCATTTACCGAACTATTTGAGCTCGTCCAAAAGCAAAGAGAAGATCACAGAATAGCAGGACCAGGTGCTATCCTACTCTCCCCACTGATAGATGACAAACCGGATAAACTGGATTACTTACAAGTTTGTCTCATGAGTGCTGAAGATGCCAGTCGTCGTGGTGACCTAGAAGCCGTATATTTATCCCAGCGTGATCTGGCACTTCATTTTGATCAGACTGGGGATCACTGGCTCTCCGATCATTTCCATAATCGCTGCTTGGAGACCGGTAGACTGATAAAAGGAGATGGCAGACGTAAAGAAGGAGAAGCTCACTTCCATGTAGGACTAGCTTATGAGAATAGAGGTACTTCAATAATTAAATATTTAATGTGAATTCTTATGTGCAAAAAAGAACATACAGTAACTGTGACATAGCTCTTTCTTAAACATTTAAAGATCACCGATCATAGTGACCATACTCTATATTACACATATCAGCAGTCCCTCCCCCTCTCTCTCTCTTCAGGTGATTTGGATAAAGCTGTGGAACACATGGAGATATTCTATGAGCTGACATCAGCCAATAACTGGCACACAGAGAATGGAGAGAACCTTTACCGTATTGCCTGTGAACACTTGAGAAGAATCTACACTACAATTGCAGAGAAAGTAAGAAGAAGAAGAGCATAGACTAAGAACAGCTGGCATTAATATTGTTCTCTCTCTCTCTCTCTCTTTCCTGTAGTCAGAGGATACCTCATTATTGATAGAGTACCTTCAAAAGGCTCATACCATGTCAAAGAAAGCCAAAGACACTTACCAAGAAGGACTGGCCTCCTACAGACTGGGCTGTGCTCATGAAAAGAACAAAGACTTTGATACTGCACTACAAGTAATGACACTATTTATTTATTTATTTATTTTATTTTTATTTTAAGTGTCATAAGAGTTTCCTGGAGAGATCTCGTTACCATAGTGACGAGGTTGGAGTAGGTAACGCCTACGAAGCTTTGGCTAGATGTCATGAAAAGTAAGAAGATTATATTATTATTATTATTATTATTATTAATCATTCTTTTTCATTGTAGTAAAGGTGATCTTGAGAGTGCTGTCCAGTGTCTTGAGTTATATGTTAATGTAGCTGAGAAGAGTGGAGCTACTGAGTCACTAGCTAAATCATGCAGAGCTGCAGGAACCATCTTTAATACACTGGTGAGTACTTACTGTCTGTTTGGTTATCTAATCATAATGATAATGGTCTCCTTATGACAACCATAGGAAGTAAATGACATTCATTAGTTATTATATTGGTGCGCCCCACGATAGCCTTTCATAGTTATAGTGGTATTTAAGGACAAACTATGATGTTGAGTTTCACATTGTGTTGTTTCCATAGTTTTGTCACATCTTACAAAATTTTTGGAAGGGGCTCTCTTTTTAGAGAGGCCCTGAGCACAAATTTATCTCTAAATTTTATTGCTAAACTCTCTGATATCTCTATTCTTAAGGCCTTTATCATCAGGCTTTACGCTCTTTCTCTTTTAGGGTGATTACAGAAAGACCTTAGAATATTTCTCAAAATGTTACACTTTTTGTCAACAACTGAACGACAAGGGTGCCATCCAGTCTGCTCAAGTACAATACGGGATAGCTCAAGCTCATTACAAAATGATAGAGTTCACTTCAGCCGTTAAAGATCAGACTGAGAGAGGACTAATGAAACTAGTAGATTGGAAAGGAAAGAAGAACATTACTGAAGAATCGGAGACTACTGATGATGATGAGAAGAATAATGATAAAGAAGAAGAAAAAGATGAAAGTGTACAAGATAGTGACAGACCTAGTGAGAAAGAAGATATTGAAGAAACAGAAGATGTGGTGGAACAAGTAGAGGATGATAACACAGGAATTAAAAAAGAAGAGACAGTATCATGATTATAAAAGATATATTGTAGTATTATTTTTAAAGAACATTATCATTCTGCATAATAATAATTATTATTATAGTCATAGTTATACCTAAGTTCAAATATTCTTCATTAAAGAATTTCAGGAGAAATATTAATAGTTATAACAGTTATCCCACATGCTTCAAAATGAGACTATGGCTGTCAAGAAGATGGAAAATTTTACTGCTCATTTTCATGATTATATTCCTTTTCACTTGGTCATTTATCTCTAAGAAACTCTTCCATCATGTTTCAAAATATCCTCAAACTAGCTATACTGCTACAAAGTGGTCACTAAAGACTGAAATTAGGAGAGGCAGTGATCTTCATTATCATTCACAATTTCACTCCATCACTGATCCTAAACCACTCACTAATCTTTGTCCTCATGTGTTTATTATTGGTTCAAGGAAAGGCGGTACCACCTCGCTCTATCAATATCTCTCGGCTCACCCTCACTTTAATGGGATTAGGTTAGACTGGGGTCCAGTGGCTGGGGAAACATGGTGGCTATCACAAGAATATGATGAAAATAAAGTATCAGAATACATACAACTCTTTCATCACGAGGAAGGTTTTATGACTGGAGAAGCAACAGTAGATTACCTTGTTAATTGTAAAGTACCGCGTCGTTTAAGAACCCTCTGTGGTCTTCATGCTAAGATTATCATGTTACTACGTGATCCAACCCATCGCTTTATATCGGATTACTACATGAGACTTCATATTAATACTAAACGTTATTATCCTGGATCAGACTTCAATACCAGTGCTAGTCTTAGTGAAACTATTGAAAGAGAATATAATAAGTTTATAACAAGAGCACACAGACAGTTTAATTCCACTAATAAGCATATTTTCTTTGCTGCAGACTGGAAGAAATTGAAGTGTCTATTTCGTGAAGCTCAAAACCTTTTTTATGAAGGACTATATTATGTTCACGTTCAAAACTGGTTAAGCAGCTACCCTCCTCAAAATATACTGATAGTTCCTAGTGGAGCATTGTTTAGTGATACTGTAGCAACTGTTGCTGGAGTGATGGAGTTTGTTGGACTGGAGAAGCTTAGTGTTAGCAAGATGGAAGACATCACAAGGTCGATTTATAACTATGGTAGTTATGATCGCTCCAGCATCAAGGAGAAAGATATAAAGAGACTAAATGAGCTTTATAGACCTTTTAACCAGCAGCTATTACATTTATTAAAATGGGAAAAGTTTTAAAATTGACAATGGTAATTGGTAATAATTAGCATCTTTGAGCTACCGCCCACGCACTCTAGCTAACGCCCACATAGACATAACCAAGTTTTCATTTCCGTTTTCTCTCCGTATATTCTAAAATCATGGGACCTGTGTTGTTCTTGCTGATTTTGCTCTCTCTCTTAAACAGCCTTTCTCTCTCCGCCCCGTATTCCTCCGACTGGGAAAGCTTCCATCAATACACTATAGACTATTCTAAACCTTATATCAACGACACAGACCATCTCATTCATCGTTTCAAAGTATTTCAGGTAAGCAGTAGTTTTCAATGAGCCACACCCAATGTCACGTGATCCACAGGAGAGTCTCCTCAGACACAAAAGACTGAATGAGTATGAGTCTCAAAATGGTGGACATGCTACGTATGGGGTTAATAAATTCTCTGATTTGACACCTGAAGAATTTGCAAGTAATAAAAACATGATTGCCACTATTGTTATTATTATTATTATTACTTAGATACTTATCTTTTGTATCGTCCATCTGCTCCTCCACAAAATGAGAAGATATCAACTAGTTTTATTGCCGAATCACCTTCAATTGTAGCAGATCCAGTTACATATGATTGGTGAGAAGAGAGAATGTTAATGTACATATAATAATGGTTAATAATGGCTAGGAGAGACAAGAACGTCCTTACTTCAATAAAGAACCAACAGAAGGTATTAATAAATATCATTTGTCTATTACTTTTATTTTTATTATTAGTGTGGAAGCTGCTGGTAAGTTAGTGGTAACTGATTCCCATACTTTCATGATTCCGTTCCCTATAACCTCATTCCTATAATTCCATTCCAAAGGGCATTCAGTGTAGTAGAAGTACTGGAGAGTAGACTGGCAATACAAACGGGTCAGTCCCCAGTATCACTGAGCGTGCAGGAGGTAATATCCTGTGAATATTATCCCGACCAGGAGCTTGATGGTTGTTCTGGAGGTGCTCTTTACTATGCTTTTAAAAGACTACATGTGAGATGAATGTCAACCTATTTCTTATTTATTTATTTATTTGTTTATTTATTTATTTTTTATTTATTTGTTTATTTATATATTAATTTGTTTATTTGTTTATTTAAGGATGAGGCTAGGGTGATAGTATCAGACAGTGTATATCCTTTTGCTAGCAGTGATGGGAACACTAAGACTTGCAGACAGAATTTGTTAGTTAAATTAGACATTACATTTCACCATCTTACTCTCTCTCTCTCTCTCTAGGCCACAGCAAGGTGTAGTGCTAAAGGAATTCAATTATACTTCTGAGTTTGTTAAAATTAGTAATTTATAAATATATGATTATCTTGTTTTAGTATTGATGAGAATTTAATGATACAATATGTATTAAGGAATGGTCCTACTTCTAATTCAGTCAATGCTGCAATGTGGCAGGATTATTCCAGTAAGGAGAAGGAGCCATAGTAACTGAATCATAATATTTTAAATACATTAATACCAGGTGGTATAATACAGCACCATTGTACTTCAACACCACTAGATCATGCTATCCAAGTGATTGGATATAATCTTGATAACAGTGAGAGAGAGAGAGGGTGAGAGTTGTGATATAGAGTATATTCTGCATAGATCCTATACCATATTGGATAGTTCGTAATACCTGGGGCTCAGACTGGGGTGAAGGAGGTTACGTGAGGCTCAAATTTGGTGACAATACCTGTGGTTAGTGTTTAAGAGGGTAAGGATGCTCATTATGTCTTTTAATAGGTTTAGCTGCTGAGGTGGTTACTGTGTGGAATGTCACGTCAGTGTGACAGTCATGTGACTCATAATTTTAAAACCATTTTGTAATGTTTTTTAATGCAAGCAATATTTTTTACAGCTAATAATAATAATTAGTCATTATTAGTAGGCGGGGTTTGTAGTTTATGGGTGTGGTCACATCCGTTTTTCAAGATGGCTGAAAATCCTGAAGAAAAGGCTCATAAAAAAGCAGCGAAAGATGCCATTTCACTCAACACGTCGGTCCTCTCTGATGCTCTAAAGAATGATCCTATCCTCAGGAGTGTTGTGCAGAAATGTGTCGAGAAAAGATATCTCACTACCGCAGAAATGGATACACTTTTTGATCCATACACTGGTCAGAGTTTAGCTCAACGTGCCAGCAACTTTGTATCTAAGATACAGTCTTTGGTTGGGATCCTCCCCGGGAAACTGGACGAGTTTGTATGCATCTTGCACGAGACTGGTAATCCTGTGGTCCAAGAAGCTGCTAGAAAAGTTGCTGAGAATTGTAAGTTGATTCTACTGTCTAATCAGTAATGGATTCTACTTAACTTGCATGATAGTCAAGCAGGAATAATGTTTAACACATGTTCTATTGTGATAACTATGTTGCGTATGAATTACAGTACCTGTTACATATAATGATCCCACTCTTATACTATATTATCATAGGTACCTTCATATTGCCTCAATATGAGGAACTGACGTCTGTAGGATCTCTTCCTGCTGGACCATTATCGCCACGCTCTGGTAAGCACACACTATGTAGCATGCATTCTTAGATACAGGGAAGGGAGAGGTTAGGAGATTAGATTTGATATAATTATAATGTAAACTTTATTTTTATTAGATTCAAACTTAAGCATCACTGATTTAAACACTGTACGATCTGCATTGAGAGATGGAAACTTTAAAAAAACCAAATGGATGGATTTAGGAGAAGAGTTGGGTCTGAGTGTCAATACACTGGACGTTATAGAAGCTGATCACAATGGTGCTGATAGGAGGCTTCGAGAGTGTTTAGTAAAATGGCTTGAAAGAGCAGACGAGGTTGATGACAAAGGAGGAGCAAAATGGAGTGTGCTAGTAACAGCACTTAATACACTGAAGCAAAAAGAAGCAGCAGATTACATCAGTAAGCAGTTTTATCATTATTATTATCATCATTATATTCTCTTCTCTCTAGAATCAAACTATCTCAAGAATTAAAGTGATGATGATGATGACATTAGAAATATAACTTTATGTACATGCCCTAGCTCAGACATGAACTTTTTGTATTACTTGTATTTTTATAATAATTATTAATTTTATAATGCTTCAGCACTTGACAACACGTGTTTGCAGTATACGGAGTAATGGTGTGGGTGTGGCTACTTTAATTTTTAACCCTTCAAAATTCAAAAATGTTCAGCTTATTAAAAGGACTCTGGGAGTATTTCTTTAGAAAAGACGAGTACTTTGTGGTTATACTAGGACTGGACAATGCTGGGAAAACAGTAAGAGAAAAAACTAGCAACACAAAATCTACAATAAATATAATAATTATTAATAATAATAATAATGATAGTTTTAATAAAAATAAATAGACATTTTTGGAGACTATAAAGAGAAGGTATATCAGTAACTATCATGGAATGCCACTGGAAAAAATAAGCACCACAGTAGGACTGAATGGTAACTCCAATAGTCCACTTTTGTAATGTAAAATTTATATTATGTTTAGCTTATTTTGTATGGGCTATCCAGTAAATTTTTTATTATTTTTTTAGTTGGACGTATTGACGTTGGAGTTCAGAGACTTGTACTGTGGGATTTAGGAGGTCAACAAGATCTTCAGACACTTTGGAACGAAGTACTAAAATGATTGATATACAGTCTTCATTGATACAGCCTCCATTTTGTTAGTATTATGCCGAGTGTCATGGAGTTGTCTACATGATTGATTCATGTGATCGACATGCTCTTCAGATATCGGCAGAAACGTTCAGTAAGCGACACACATACACAGTCAGTGACTATTCTGTAATTGTAAAAATGGAGAATTCTCTCCTTTTTATTTTTATTAAAATTTGACCAAATTTCCTGTACTATAGTACAGGGACTTAATTAGTCCAATTTTTAGTAACTTTAAAAATTCGTAAAAAATCCAATTTTGATCGGAATCAGCTCAAACTTTCTACACAACATAAGTACATGTATATGCATCAGAAAATGTAATAAAAATGGAGAATTCTCTCCTTTTCATTTTTGGTGAAATTTGGCCCATGACCCTGTACTATAGCACAGGGACTTTGGTCCGATTTTGGAGAAACTTTAAAAAATCCTAAAAAATCCAAATTTGATCGGAATCAGTTCAAACTTTCTATACAACATAAGTACATGTATATGCGTCAGAAAATATAATAAAAATGTAGAATTCTCTTCTTTTCATTTTTGGCAAAATTTGGCCCATGACCCTGTACTATAGTACAGGGACTTTGGTCCGATTTTGGAGAAACTTTAAAAAATCCTAAAAAATCCAAATTTGATCGGAATCAGTTCAAACTTTCTATGCAACATAAGTACATGTATATACATCAGAAAATGTAATAAAAATGTAGAATTCTCTTCTTTTCATTTTTGGCAAAATTTGGCCCATGACCCTGTACTATAGTACAGGGACTTTGGTCCGATTTTGGAGAAACTTTAAAAAATCCTAAAAAATCCAATTTTGATCAGAATCAGTTCAAACTTTCTACGCAACATAAGTACATGTATATGCATGAGAAAATGTAATGATGACTTCTTTTCTTAATAAAATATAATGTATATAATTTATATTAGACAGAGTGATACATCATGCTGATCTTGATGGAGCTCCATTACTGATACTAGCCAACAAGCAAGATAGAGAGGTCAGTTAAATTATTATTATTATTATTATCAGACATGGGGTCAAGCACTAGGTAATGTGCTTAAACACAAACACAAGCACTTAAATGTGTTAGGAGTACCAGCACAAGCACAATCTATAGCTTTAACATAAGTGCTTAAGTACAAGAACAAGCATTTTTCAGAGTGCTTAATTACATTAATATTAAGTACTAGATATTCAATAAGTGTAAAAATAAAGTAAAATTACAATTATAGTTAATTTACTATTGCATCTAATAAACACTAACTCTGTGAATTGTTCATAATAAATGAAAACAGGAGAGAGAGCTTTGGAGTGATACCACTAATGGTGATGCCATTACCATTCTTTAAACTAACACACGATCACACAATGTACTACTAAACTTGCACTACATGTACGTGTAGTGGTACATGTAGTGGTACATGTACATGTACCACTACATGTACATGTACATGTACATGTAGATGTACCATGTACATGTAGATGTACATGTACATGTACATGTACATGTACATGTACACTATTCGTGTGTAATTTTTGCTGTGCTTAAAAGCACTTTTGTAAATTTGTAAAAGTAATTAAGTACAAGTACAAAGCACATAGATTATATTGAAAAGGTACTTGCAAGCAGCATTAAGTACTTATAAAGCTGTGCTTATTTGTGCTTAAGTACAAGCACCAAGTGCTTGACCCCATGCCTGATTATTATTATTATTATTATTATTATTATTATTATTATTATTATTATTATTATTATTATTATTATTATTATTATTATTATAAAATAATATTATCTTATAAAACAGGATGCTCTTCCATTGACAGAAGTGGAGAGTGCTTTTGATACAAGTGTTGAATCTATCGGTAACAGAGACTGTCGCATACAGAGGGTCTCTGCTTTAAGAGGGTACGTTATTAGTAGGTGTGGCTTACATATTAACTCCGCCCCTTTAGTGAAGGGGTGTTTGAAGGAATTGAATGGTTAGCTCAGAGAGTGAAGGAAAAACCAAATAGACCGTTGAAACCAGTCAAGTCGTAATACCTATTTTATTGTCATTTTCTCTCATGTTCTTGATTTCATTTTAACATGGTAATGGTACAAAATTTTAATTGCTCACGAATGCAATTTTATTTGCTATTTTTGCATCACTAGCAAACCGATCGTTGGCTTACCTCATTAATTTGTTGTTGTTGAAAAGTTAGTTTTTATAGCTTTTTATAAAAGTTATTACAGACAGTTTATTTATTATTTATTCTCTGTAGTGTTGTTTATATTGTTTATATTGTTATTTACTTTATTGTTATTGTTATTGCTATTTTACGACATACACATCTTAATAATAAAATGATAATAATAATAGGATTAATAAAAAATTTACAAAAATTATACAACTATTAATAAGGTAGCATTATTTATAATTTCTGTGTGCATTTATAATGATATATTTAATATATAATTTCATTATTATTCA